GGAAGACTGATAACGTGATGATAAAAGATGGGAAAGTAAAGGTAATAAATAGATAAGACAGGTAGAGAGAGAGAGAGAGAGAGAGAGAGAGAGAGAGAGAGAGAGAGAGAGAGAGAGAGAGAGAGAGAGAGAGAGAGAGAGAGACAGAGACAGAGACAGAGAGACATATACAGAGACAGAGACAGAGAGACATATACAGAGACAGAGACAGACACAGACAGACAGACACAGACAGACAGACAGACAGAGACAAAGAGAGCCAGAGAAGCAGAGACAGAGACCATAGGAGACAGAGAAATAGAGATAGAGAGGAAGGTTCTGGCGGTAGTGTAAGTACATAAAAATAAGCTTTTAAGCCAGAAGATATATGTACCGGAGCGCAGAGATGTGAGTTGGCGGCGAGGTGGTGCCAAAGTGTTGGGTAAGACAGGGTTAAAGAGAAGGCAAAAAGAGCCAAGCTGTCGAGGAAAGAGTGTCGGTTTGTGCTTGTGAGACATAGGAGAGGAGTGGAGGATAGAGAGAAAGGGAAAGGGAAAGGGAAAGGGAAGGAGAGGGGGAAGGGGAGAGAAAAAGAAAGAAGGAGTGAGCGTGAGAGAGGGAGGGAGAGAGAGAGAGAGAGAGAGAGAGAGAGAGAGAGAGAGAGAGAGAGAGAGAGAGAGAGAGAGAGAGAGAGAGAGAGAGAGAGAGAGAGAGAGAGAGAGAGAGAGATTTTGATTAAAAAACACAAAGAAAGGAAGAAAGAAAGAGGCATAAAAAAACACAAGGAATATATTTGAAACCCATAACCATGGAAAGTCTATTAATAACAGCATTTTTATCTCATGGAAACAACCTTTACGAACGACATAGCTGCAAGTGCCCCCTCGAGATGACAAGTCACGGGCAGTTGGTAGTGTCATAAGCCATGCCACTGCGAGACACCGTGTCACTCAGTCTGGTAATGCGCATGTAGATTTATTTTTATTCTGTTTTCGTCTTTCTTGTTGTTGTTTTCATTCGCATTGTCAGCATTTCTGTTTCTCTTATGGTTCATTTTACCGCGGTTGCCATGGTAGCGTAATTATGGGTTTTGTCAGATATAAAAATAGTTATTATGGGTTTTGTCAGATATTAAAAAAAGTTTGCGTACACGTGTGTTTTTTTGTGTGTTCGTAAGTCCGTTTGTATAGGTGTCTCTGCACTATATGACTTTGTACCTGTGTGTGTAGATGGAGAGAAAGGTACTGCATGATCTATACAAGGATGTACATAAGTGTGTGTGTATGTGTGTGTGTGTGTGTATGTGTGTGTGTGTGTGTGTGTGTGTGTGTGTGTGTGTGTGTGTGTGTGTGTGTGTGTGTGTGTGTGTGTGTGTGTGAGTGTGTGTGAGTGTATGTGTGTGTGTGTGTGTGCGTGCATGTGTGTGTGTATGTGAAGTGAAGTGAAGTGAAGTGTACATTGTACCTGAACATGGCCTGGTGACGGTTACCTGACCGGTTTGCAAGGAATGCATGGCCTGTTTGGTGTGGCCAGATTCGATCAGCAGAAAAGGGCTGCTGCGGATGTGTGTAGGGAAATTAGAAAGACAATCAAATAGGTTTTATGGGGCAAGTTTTAGAGTTTATGTGTTTTGTCTACTTTGTTTAATTTTATGTGTTTTCTTATTACTATTTCTATTTTTTTCTGTCTTGTTTGCTTTAAGCTTATAGGAAAATGAGGGAATATCAGGTGGAACTTGTAAAATTATCTTGAAATTAAGAGGTGGTTATGTAAACACCATTAAATAAAAGTTAACGAAGCTAACGTTAGATTATTTTGCAAATAAAAGTGGAGATAACTATATGTATATATTTTGTGGATATGTAATTGTAACGGTATTGCCATTATGTATTTATAAAGTCAAAAGTTGCATTTCACTGTTTGATATTACTATAGTTAGTCATGCTACTCTTCCATTTTCTCTGATGTAGAGATAAGTAAAAGAAAACGGAGACGAAATGGCAGACGAAAAGTTCTCCGGGGTAACATTAATGTTTTGTTATTTCACCCTTAGATTTATTTTTTTATTATTATTATTATTATTATTATTATTATTATTATTATTATTGTTGTTATCATTGTTATTATTATTATTATTATTATTATTATTATTGGTATTATTATTATTATTATTATTATTTTGTTTTTTGTTTTACAGCACAAAATAAAGTTTATTTCTTTCCTTGATAACATTTTATTTACAGTATTTTCACATTAGATATAATTTTAAGTAGATTATTTTTTCCCATAATTGACTATTTTTTCTGTGTTGCAGGATTTGTCGTACAAGGACAAGCACTGGCATGAGAAATGTTTCCTGTGCAACAAGTGCCAGGTGTCCCTCGTGGACAAACAATTTGGATCCAAGATGGACAAGATATTCTGTGGCCCTTGTTACGACTCCCAATTCGCCACGCGTTGCGACGGCTGCGGAGAGATCTTCAGGGCAGGTGAGTACTACGTGTGATGTTATTTACGTTGTTCCTTGTGCTGCGACGTTGCTGTGTACATCTCTAAGTTCAACACACCTTGAAAAGCAATGATAAAAAGAAGAAATGGGTTTAAGAAAATAATTTAGTCCGATACACATTCAACCAGAGTACGGGCATCAGACCATATAAGCCAAACCGTTTTATAAGCAATGCGACTTTATGGCGTCGGCCCTAAATATGCAAAATGCCGCATATTAGCTCTCTCTATGCAGTTTACCATGTAGGCAGCGTGTAGACAGCATGTCTGCATAATTTACCTCCGCGAATCCGTCTGTTGCCAGCATGAATTGGTGAGCATGAGAGCTTATCTGTGTCACGCTGTTCTTGAGAAGTCTCCGGCACATCTTCAAGGAGGCTGCTGTGATGTATGGATGCGTCGGCTGCCATTATGGGCCACGTCCCCAGGTGTTAATTTAGGACTTGCGACTTATGTGACAGATGCGGTCGCCCGAGATCCTTATAGTGCTGCGTGCGCCTTGAGTCGGGTTCTGCGAAAGTCGTTTATATGTTGTTGGGCGTTGTTGTTGTCGTCGTTTTGTGATGTTGTGGTCGGTGTTGTAATGTCTGCGGTTGTTGCTGTTTTTTTTTTTTTATTATTCTTGACCAGTTTCGTAATGTTCATGATAGCTTAGATAAGATGTGCATGATTTTGAGGATTTGGTTTATCAAGCCTAGGTTTGCTGTCGTTATTTTATAAATGTCATGGAAGATTCTGTAATGGGTAAGTAGTTTCCGACTTTCATTTTCTCTCTCTGTCTCTGTCTCTCTCTCTCTCTCTCTCTCTCTCTCTCTCTCTCTCTCTCTCTCTCTCTCTCTCTCTCTCTCTCTCTCTCTCTCTCTCTCTCTCTCTCTCTCAGTGATCTCCTAGCAGTTTATTGTGTTATTGCAATGTCTGTAGTAATAACAATAATATTATGAGGGGAAAGTTGCAACCAAGGGAAATTAGTGCAAGTTTCACCGGCGTCGACGAACCTTGAGGCCCAAACACCAGCGTGACTATGGCGGGTCACGTGACCTTGCGATATCGTCGTTTTCTATGAAGACTTTCTGTGTTGTAACGCTAATAGTTTCGTGGTGTACTTTGTTCAAGGAAAATGGGTGTTTATGATTACAGTTGCTCTCTCTTTCGTTCTCTTCACCTCTCTCTCTTTCGTTCTCTTCACCTCTCTCTCTTTCATTCTCCTCTCTTCTCTCTCTCTCTCTCTCTCTCTCTCTCTCTCTCTCTCTCTCTCTCTCTCTCTCTTTCTCTCTCTCTCTCTCTCCCTCTCCCTCTCCCTCCCTCATACACTCAGTACTCCACAAAATGCCTTTTCACTCTTCACACCGTCCGTCCCCACCCTTCGCCCATTCCTCTTTCATCCCCATCTCTCTCTCGCTGCCTTTCGCTCCCTCCTCCTGCCCCGAGCCCGCCCTTCCGCACGCCCTCGGCGGTTCTGGCACCCCGCCACCTAAGAGGGAGGGCGTGATGCATGAGGGGGCGACACCACCTGTTGTGTAGACCTAACAGACGAGGCCCTATGACCCGGTGAGGATCATGAGCGCATTCTCGGGGAGGCTGAGTCACCCATAAGCCGTCGACGCTGAAGGTGTGAGCCGGGCTAAAAGGAGGCGGCGAGGGAGGCAATAATAGCCTGCAGGCACTGGAGGGGGAAGGGGGTGCGAGTGATTTTTTTTTTTTTTTTTTTTTTTTTTTTTTTTTTTTTTGGTAGTGAAGGTAAAGGTTTCGAATGCTATTTGTAAGATAGGGGATTTGGGATGGTATTTATTCAAGGTAAGTTGGAGGTTGCGAATGCTATTTTTCTTGCAGCGCAGAGAATGGATAGAAAGGCAATTTGTACATCAATCCACATAAACTTGAGGGTTATGCAATTCATGCTTTTTCTCTCACCAGGACAATTACTTTGGGAAAAAATGTAACATCTCGACACAGTTGCAGAAGTATTTTCATCAGTTAAATTAAACCAGATCTCAAAGTGATACATTCTTATGTCACGTCAAGAAAACCATCATTAAGGCCTTTTTCAGATACCTCCGTGTCACTTAGTCCATCAGCTTTAATAGTTATGAAAATAGACGTCAAGTGCGAGGGCGGAGGATGAGCGATGGCCGCGCGGCGTTCAAGGGCGACGAAATCCAGTCGGAAATTTCCCAATCGCCTCGACTCCAGTTATTTTCGATGAACGCTTTTAATAGAACTGTATTTTATCAGCACTCAGCTCAAATAAGCGTTAAATTTAAATTAGTTATCTCTCACGACAAAAAAAAAAGAGAAAGAAAAAAGAAAATCGAGCACGCCCGGCCATTTCAGGCGGGATTTCGATAACAGAAAACCCCCGAGTCCATTAACAACAGAAAACGGGAAGGTCACCGGCCTAAATACAGCGACTTCGACCAAGCAGGAAATATTCAGATAGCCAATTTCAGAGTCACCTTGGGGCCTAATTGGCTGTTCTAATTTTGGTCACGCATTTCCCAAAGGTGGAGCGCCTATAAGCAACGGAACATGACATCACCGCGTATCGTGTTACCTTTAGAGAAATAAAAAGGAAGGTTATGGGGCATAGCGCTCTCTCGCTAATATCTGCGAGCGACCGGGCGAGGCGGGTCGGGTTACCTTTGGCTCCCGGGTTTATGGCCGCGGGTCAGGGTAGGACTGTCCTTACAGCAGTGTGCATGCTTATTCAGTCATCTGTAACTCTGCGCCGCTTAGCAATTTATGTGTGTATGTATCCGTCTGTATGTCTGTCTATCTATTTTTATATCTGTATGTATGTCTCTCTGTCTATATATGTATATGTATGTATTTATTTATACATATGTATATGTATATACATATAAACATATATGTATATCTACATATGTATGTATATATATACACATACACATGCATGCATAAATGCATACATACATACATAAGTGTATATACTCGAATAAATAGTTTAATGCAGAAAAGAGGTTCTTCACATCAATTGCCTTTTTCTGTCGCATGTTTTTAATATTTTTCAATTTTCAATATTACCCTTATCGTGTTTGCTTCACCAGAATATTCCGGCTTTTTCCCAATTAATTGACTGCGTTTCGCCCGAGATGAGAAAATTCCGGTTAATAAGCAGCAAACCCCAACACAAATAAGAATAATAATGATGATAAGAATGCCACGGCGACCTTCAGCATACTGCAGATGCATTAACCTTTCCCTGCGTCTATATTTCTAGCTAATCCCCCTCTAATTAAAAACAAAACAAGAGATAGGGAAAACAAATGAACGTCGGTGTATAAGCGCACGGAGCATCTAATCCCCTGCATAGACGTAGGAATTGCGCGGGAAAAGGTTTCTGATTATCTTCATCAAGTTGCCGAGTTATGGTTCGGTTATGTCGCTTGATTACAAAGGAAGAATTCGTTCTTCCGGCGGTTTAGTCGAGGAAATTGTTTAACTACGCAATTCACGGACAATAATGATCTTGTGGCCGGATGATGTACGCAAGTCGTTAGTGAACGCTGAGCACGGCGCGCGCCTTCGTTTGCGGAGAGCTTTTTAACTTCACCGTGATTATATATGTTTATAAAGATAGGCAGACTGATGTATTATTATAGACCTTAGATGTATATACATGCTTACATAATGCATACGTACGTAAAGACAGACAGACAGACAGACAGACAGACAGACAGACAGACATATTATGCGTGAATATTTACAATGCATGCATAACGATGTGTGTGTGTGTTTGTGTGCGCGCGCACATATGTATATGTATATGTGATAAATATACATATACATATACATATATATGTATGTATATATATATATATATATATATATATATATATATATATATATATATATATATACATATATATATATACATATATATATATATATATATATATATATATATATATATATATATATATATATATATATATATATACATACATACAAACACACACATCCATGTATGTATGTGTACGCGAGTGCTCATGTACGTGTATGAGGCAGATAATGACATTGGCCTGATGCTATTAAATTCCAGTTTTGCGCATGAGTTACATTACACTATATAATTAGTTGCCGCGATCGGACTCAAGGTTTCCTCGTCTATTAATTACATGCATGATAATACACACAGCAGAAGATGAAAGGCATTCTTCCAGGCTGATGACTTTAACCTTGGCGAGGGCGAGGAAACCCTTAAACTGGGGCACCGATGTTTTCTCTGGGCCGTGGAAGACACTTAAATGATGATGTATATGAAGGAAATATTGCCTCTCTTCCCCCCCAGAGGCCGTTTCCCCCGCGTGAATTGTAATTTGCTTACACACACACACACACACACACACACACACACACACACACACACACACACACACACACACACACACACACACATATATATATATATATATATATATATATATATATATATATATATATATATATGTATATATATATGTTTGTATGTATGTATAAATAAGTTATATAGAGAGATAAATAAAGAGAGAGAGAGAGAGAGAGAGACAGAGACAGAGATAATAAAGAGAGGAAAAGAGATCGAAAGAGACATGTATTCCTCATATAAATCCGGCGAGATCATCCTCAGAATCCGAGTTCCCCGACGGCGCTTCTCTCCCGGTGCCTCTGCTGCGCCGCTCCAGCCCGGGCGTCGCCACGAGTTTCCTGAGGACGACGGGTCTACGTGGCGTCCGCGGCCCACGCCCCTCGCTCCCCACCCTCAGGGCCACGGGCGGACGTCTGGCTGTGGGCGGGAAGCTAATATTGGATTCCGTTCTGGGTTTCTGGAATATCGGCGATTTGTTTTCTTTTAAGATTTGGAACAGACAGACTGCGAAGACATTTATATAAGGCGACCGTCGGGTGTAATGGAAACTTTGGAAATAGTTTCGTAGAATCCCTTCCAGACGACGAGAAACGCGGTGGTGGAAAGGGTGGGGAGAGGGAGGGGAGGGGGAGGGAGAGAAAGAGAAG